GTTCTATACGTGAATGTAAGATTCTTAAAACCGCCACTAAATTCCCTGTGCTAACCTCCCCGGTAATCAGGAAAGAGTTGGGCATGTTTTGAATTACTTGAGTTAAGCAAATCAAATGTTCGGAAAGCAGGAATTCTGAATTTTCAATCTCCTGAATACTTAATCTTAACAATTGTTCATAAATACTTTTATTTGGAATGGATGCCAAGACGACAATTTCATTGATCACCTCTTCCGTTTTAATTTTTCTCTGGGCAAATAATTCGATAGTCTCTAGGGCTAAGTTTATTAGTTGTGGCGCTTGTTCCTGGGTATGATTATTAGGTTGCAGATAATAAGCCAAATCCTGAGTGCTTCTAATATTATTTATGTCTTTTATCTTAGGATGTGACTCGGATGTTACTGGAGGATCTTGGATGAAAAACTCTAGTTTTGGTAAAAAGGGATGTGTTGATGCTTTATGTTTGGTCAATACTTCGCGATACTTCGGTTCATATTTTTGAGCTTCTTGATAGTAATCATCCGCCTTATTCACTTCTCCTAAACTTTTGTAGACGTCACCACATTCTAAATAAGCTTCGGCCAAGCGACTTTTTACGTCATGAAGTAGGGAGGATTCTTGAACCTTAAATTCTTCAATTGCATTTTGATAAGCATCTATCGCTTCGTTTAGATAACCATCGGACTTTTGTTTTCTGGCATTCACTAAGTGGGTTTTACCCTTTTTGTAATGCTTGTCAAACATAATTATTTTAAATTTTTGAGAAAATGTTAACCTCAATAACTGAGTCGATACGCATTCTTCTATGATCATATATATATCTATATTTGCATAAAAGACATTACAGAAACGATATGTGTCACCAAGAAATTTGTGCATTTACACCGCATTTTAAAAAAGTGAAACTTTAATAACGGAATCGATATAAATATACATGTATAAGTCGATAAGGCTTATCTAAACGTTTTCCCGATATAAGTGACACATCACGTATAATTATCTTAATAAATGGATCAAATGTGCATTTGGGCTGAAATAGCTGACCAAGAAAGTCAATGAAAGCTTATCCAAACTTTTCTAACATAGTTTCACACTGCACTAGTGATCACTTTTTGCATTTTAAGAAAACTTTAATGAATGGCCAAGAAAATCAATAAGGCTTATCTAAACGTTTTCCCGATATAATTACCACATCGCACTGGTGTAGTCATTATAGCTGCGTCACAGAAAGAAATTTAAAATGGTCAAAAAAAAAACAAGATCCTATTACATGCAGGACGACATTTTATGTGTCACCAAAAAATTTATGCGTCCATTAACATGTATTTGAAAAGAACAAAGTTTTTTCAAAAGAATAATAATTTATATAAAAATTGTGTTTAAATTAATTAAACTAAATAAATATACATATACTGTATATATAGTCTGATACAAAAGTCTTGACTTTTTTAAAAAATTTATTTTATTTACAATTTTATAAATATTTAATAAAACAAAACAATATTTATATATTTTTTATTTTATTATAATATTATTATTGAAATTAGATTTAAAAACAAAAGCTTTTTAAAAATGATTAATCATTTTTAATTAATTATAAAAACAATTATAAATTATTATTATTTTAATAATTAAATTTATTAGAAAATAACTAATAGAATTGTTTAAAAATGATCTATGGATCTATATTATAATAGTAATACTTCATAGGTTATCAGGGGCAGGTTTAGGGTTCAAACCCATTTGGTTATAAAAATATATCACAAAAAATCAATTAGGCTGTATGAAAATGGAACTTTTGATCTTTCTGATGATTATGAGGTTGCAACAGATCACATAAAAAAAAGATTGCATGAAAAAAGTTTCTTGTTTAATTTCAGCTAAACCTTATAGTCACATCACACAAAACAATAACACATTTAATATTACAAATTGGGTTGTGTACTATTTTAATCAATTTCACTTAATCTTACATGTTAAGAGGAAGAAGTTTAACTCTAAAAAGATCATTGATGTGATTGCTAATGTGTAGAAGTATTATAGCTAAAAAATACTATTTGCATTATATAAGAGTTGCATCCTACTTGATATTTATACCCTTAGATTTGATAGCTTAAACCAATTGAATTTTCTTGGAATGTCTATTAGAAGATATTGAAATCATACTCTACTTGGCCATTTGGTCCCTAAATTTGATAGTTTGTATCAATCAAAAACTACAGCTTTCAGAACATTTACTAAGAAATATATAGATATGTCATATTACCTATTAACTCTACACTTGATGAAAGATAGTTAAAGATAAAATATGAAAAGATAATTTACAGAATATTAACATGATTACCATTCCAAAAACATTTATTGTTTCTTTAAAAATAGTTGAATCAATAGGTTAAATAATTTAAAACTAATAATAGGATTTTTACCCTCTAAATAGATCTCTCCAAAAATACAAATCACTTCAAGAGTATTATTAGTATCACTGAATAATAAAAAGTAGAATAGGTTAGCATTTAATTATAATTTAGCATTACAGATAATATTTAAAATAATTGTGATATTATATACAGTATGGGACAAAAATAATCGGAATTATATTTTTTATTATAATTTAATAAATAATTATTGAATTTAGATAAAATTTTCAAAATACTTTTTTAATAATATAATGAATAAGATATTTAAGTTTTATTAATAGTTGATTAATAATTTATTTTAAAATTTTAATTTAAAGTTAAAAATTTTGATTGCAAAAATTTTGTTACAAATTTTTATATATAGATTTATATATAAATATGGACGGAGAATGTTATTTTTTTACTATAAAAATTTTTTTTAAAAAATTAATTAAAAATCAAAAAAAAATATTTAGTTTATAAAAATTTTTTTAAAGATTTTTCTTTTAATATATAAATAACTTAATAAAGTTATTTTGGGTTTTATTTTGTAAAATTAATTTTAAAAATTTTTTAAAAAATCCAAAATGATAATTTAATATGAAATTTCTGTTTTTTTATCAAATTTTAATAAAATTATCTCAATAAAAAATTTTTTTATTAATAAAAAAAATAAATAAAAATTATTTTATATTTCAATTTGTTTTTATTTAATAAATCTATATATTAAATTAACTTTAATAATTTTTTAATATAGATTTTTTCTAACTAACTTAAAATCATTGTTTTTGAAAAAAAATTTTTTTTTTAAATCAATATCTAGTAAAATTATATTAATATATTTTGAAAATTCCTTAAGTAACTTTATATCTTATATTCTCAAAAATATATTTGTAAAATTTTATTTTATTTTATCAATTAATTATTGAATTATGAATAAAAAACTAAAGTCAAAACTATTCTAATTATTTTTGTCCTACACTGTATATATATATAATTAGATTTGTAGATTTTTTTATATTATTAAAATATTTTAATGTTATTAAATATATTTATAAATAAAACTTTTTAAAATAAAATTTATAATTTATTAAATATAATATATAATATTGAATTTTATAATAAAACTTATTGCAATAAATTAATTTTATTATTATTTTATTAAATTGTTATTTTATTAACTTATTATAACAAAAAATTAATTATTAATTGTTATTATAAAATTTTAATGGCATATTAAATTTAAAATAATATTGATTAAATTAAACAATAAAGGTTTAATATTATTAAGAAAAAAAATAATTTATATTGATAATTTAAATTAATAATTCCATTGATTTAATTAAAAAAATTAATTTTTTAAAATAATTGCTTATTATTACAACTTTAATTTCTTTTATTTGTTATAATTTTTTGTAATTTTTTGTAATGTAATTAACAAGTATATAATAATCACACAAAATATTATAACAATAGAATTTATCATTCTTTAATAAATACACAATATATATTTTACTTATATGTTTAATAATAATTTAAAATCATATAAACTTGTCAAATTTACATTTTTTTTACTTTACGTAATCATTAAAATATTTATTTTTATTATTGTTCACTTGTTATATAAGATCCAAATATCATGTACAGTATTCTTTATGACAATTAGATTCTAATAATATATATTTTTATTATAAATTAAAAAATCATAATAATAATAATTATTTTTCGTTATTAAATCATTTGCAATCAAATTTTATTGTGCTTTTATAATATCATTATCTTTTAACAAATTATACCGTATATAGTGTAGTATATGTAAATTTCGATTGTTAAACTTTATTAAAAAAAATATTAAAAGGAGTCTTATTTGTACGAAAATCATTGTTTTAAAGCTTTACATTTTTATCCATTCAAATATTTTACTAGTGACAATATAACCTATATTTATATTTATTATACGTTAGATTATTTATTTTATCGTTTAAAAATTTCAAATAACATTCGTTGCCATTTTAACGATACCAATTTTTACGAATCCATAGTTTAATCATTTATATTTTTCTATTGACGAAATAAATTGATTTTTATTTTATTTATTAAATAGTTTATAATAAATAAACCAAAAGAAACCGTGCCGTAATAGTGAAAGAAATAAAAAGGTATTCTATTCGCTTGTGTATATTATATTATATTGATTTTGTTGTTCGTTTAACTCAGTCCAATAGTTTGTAAAAAAATGACTTGGCTCATATGTTTGAAAATTCGTCATTGCATTTGTCAAATATATATGACTTAAGAAAATTTCTGCGAAATAATAATAATGATAGAGTTTTTTTCATTTATTTTAGATTTTAGGTATTCCCTTTACAACCATTAATCTCTTTGTGACCTTTATTTCCTAAAATACTCGCAATAACCGAAACTTCCCTACTCTGTAATGTGATGAAAACAAGGTATGACGTAGCTACATTTTTCCAAAACCAGAAACAATTACCATACGATTAAGTTGCACAATCAAAATCAGGTGACTTAATTTTTTCATATTTAATCATGAAATTTTGAGCTTTCTTATGCACTTCTGATCGAATGTGATTAATACGAAAATGAGTGAAAATAGTCAATCTACAAGTGATTTCCCTTCTTCGAGTACTAATGCGGTAGGGAACTGGGGCGATGTTGCTAATAATTCAAACACGAAAGAAAATGATGGTATAAGTTCATACATCACCACGGTTTTCCACGTCCACATGCCTAAGCTTGATTCCAATTATTCACCCGCGGTTCTTGGGAGTTGCGAATCTTTAGGTAAATGGGATAAAGCAAAACCTCGAGTACTTCTTAAAAATGTAAGGAATACTCTTTGGATATCCAATCCGGTTAAAATTCCAAATAATATCGAGGTGCAATACAAGTACGCGATATATTACAAAGGCATTCTTAGTTTTTCTAAACTCACTTTTGAAAAATATGAAGGTGAAGGTGAACAAGCAAATCGTAATCTGGAACTTCATGAAAATCATTATGACATTTGGAAGAATAATTATTCATTATTCAAAATTGAACCCGAGTTACTAAGAAAGGAATACGCATTTGTCGGTTACATATACGAACATATTAATAATAACAATCTGAAAGATAAATTAATAGAATATCAAAGGATTTTTGAAGATCACAGGGAATATGCAAGATTTGCAACAAACCTTAGCTTTATTAAGGAACGGGTGATTGATTGTAAAACAAAGGAAAAGCGTTACTTCTTATTTCTACTTCTCGGCTATTATATGAGTCAGACGGGAAAACGACAATTTGACAATATTTCATTGCCTGCAGAATTTCCTTCTGATACGCTATTTGAAGTGCTTGATGATCTAAACCTAATCTCGGGAACAAAGCACTATGTGATTTTCTCGATAAAAGCCTTAACTCAACATAGTTCCAAGTATGGCAGCTTTGAGTGGTTTAGAATGTTTACACTTGCACCGGAACTTGATGAGGAATACACTTTCTTGGATGCCATAGTCTTTTGCGATTATTCCAAGAACTCTTCTCGTTTTCAAAAGTCCCTGTTAGATTATGTGCAACCGCGCATTTCAGAAATAAAACAAAAAGATGATCTAATTCGTCGAGTTGCATCGGTAATTATTGCCTCAAAAATTGTTACAACCAAAGTTTCATACTCACTCGTTTCTTTTAAATCGTTTTAGAAATTGTTGCAGTTGTCATATAATCTGGAAAGTTTATTGTTTATTTTGAATGAAGTTATAGGATATGATGAGCGTCTAAAGACCATTGTTGAAAAAAGAATCAATGATTTTATCAAGCATGATAGCCCTATTCAATTATATAATCATTTTCAAGAGGTTCGTAACGAGAGCCAATTTGACATAAAGAAGTTATTTCGCGAAAGGCTCTTAAAACATCTGCAATATCGGGGCGCACAATGGGAGCATCGTGATGTCGAGTCTTTGAATAACATCCTTCATGATAAAAATCTTATTTGGCCAATCGAGGATCTCATAAAAATACTCGAGTGTGTAGCTTCCTCGGACCAATTACCATTGTTGCAAAATTATCTCATAATCTTGAAATTAGTATTGGGTCAAGATCAAGGCTATAAGTCGCTTCTCATAAATAAAGCTTTGGCTACCACTTACACGTGGCTTCCAAAATTAACCGCACTTTTGGCGTCAAAAAGTGGTGCGTCGTCTGCACTATCAAAAAACATTGCATTTATTACATTCCAAAATTTTTCCTCGGTGTATAAAATGGTTGAAGATTGGCCACATATTTGTGAAGAATTGAAGAAAATTGTGAACAATCAACTGGATCCTCTATCCGATGATATCATTTTCGGGATGGCTTCCTCTGTCGATGGGTTTGAACCTGACGTTAAAAGGCACTATGTTACATTGGCAAAGACTAGGCTATATCGTGATGTGCGAGACATAAACGATCAACTATTGAGGAAAATAATTCGTATCTGTGACTCGAAAAAGTTGCTTCACATAAAAAATGAGTTTGTATTAATTGATAAAAATGGTTTCAATTTGTTGCAAATATTAAATATATATATATATTTTTTCATTTAGGACCTGCGAAGAATTACTTTATCATATATTCGATTGTTTGCAAAAAAATGCTCCCGAAAGACTACACGCAGAGGAAACTTTTAACATCCAGATTTCAATACTAGAATCTTCAAATTTCTGGAAGATCATTTTTCTCTCATCGGGAAATACAGAAAGACTTCATTCACATCCGTTCGTCCAAGAAACGAGAGATATCTTGATAAACTTGGCAATGGAAATTGCGGAAAATACCATAACCATCGGATTATTAGAAGATATTCTTAGAATTTATTCAAAGGACGAAAATCTTTTTATCGAACTTATCAACTCTGCCGTTGGAGATCAAGTTGAACTCATGATAACGGATAATGCGCTTGACACACTTCGTCACAAATGTGTCGCCTACACCACGACATTTTTCCGTCTGGACAGATTTTACACGAAATTTTGTTCCTCTAAACAGATAAACGATTATCAGAAATATATAATCGATTTGCAAAATCGAAAAGAGGTGATGAACAATACCACGATTGAAAATTCATGTTCTGATGATCACTGGGGAATGCATATTGAAACAATTCCGGCCGCGGATGCAGCTTTCAAATTTTTTGAATCACGCACTTTCGGTAACATTTATAAGCTTACCTTGGAATCAGAAACACGCGAATTAAATGTTCAATTTGTGGCACAAGAAATTATCAGAGATGCTATTGATAATTATATTAAAGCTTGCCAAAGATACGATGATTGGGAAAAACTTAAATATCCGGAAGTCAAACTTTTCTGGAGTAAAATCAAATCTGAACACGTGGATGCTGAGCTGTTATTTTTGCTTTCAAATTGCAACATTGTCAAAGGCTCTAAGCGTGGAAAAAAACTAACCACAACAGTTGAACACTTGGTGTCAATCCCGGTGTGGAATAATCGACTGCAAGAGCTGATTGAGGCGCTAGAGATTTTCGAATATCCTGTTGATAACAAATTTTGGGCGAGTAAATTATTGCAAAATTTAAAAGACAATGATTTGATTCTTGAGAAAGTGCTCCCCATATTCAAAGATCTGAGGTATTCTTTAGACCTCAACAGGATATCGGATAAGTCTTGGGAAGCCATAAGTGAAATTTCGGCATCCCGAGATTTTATCAAATTTCTCAAATCTTTGGTTGGTCATGACCTGAAAAATTTGATTAACGGGGTAGATGATCATTCGGATGAAAGATTAATGCAGGCAGATACCGTGTCCACCTTTATTCAAGTCAAATCGATCTTGGAACAGCTCCTAGATAAAGATTCCAAAGATGCTTCCGGTCACTCGATAAATATATTCCTGTCGAGATTTTTAAAGGTTACTGAGGGTAACCCTTTGCTGGCCAGCAAAGTAAGGCTTTGCAACTCAAATTACCAAGCATTGAAGAATATGTATGAAGTAAGTTACATTCTATTTTCATTGAAAATCAAGATGGAAACATTAATTCGGTTAAAATTTCGAATGGACAGAACCTCTCAAAACGTGGAGAGATAACAAAACAACGAATCAAGAATTGTGTCGTAAAAGGAACGTACGAGTTTACGAATTCGGAAACTGACGAACAAAGATGCACGGCGAAATTATCGTATCATAGCGACAAATCCAATAAAACTTTGACAACTTATAGGTAATTTTTTTTTTCAGTGACATACCATCTGCGCTTTAATTTCTCCCACTGAAAATTTCGGATTATTATAAACAGCTTTGCTGACTTGCAAGACTTGAGGGGACGTGCCCTTTTAATTGCCAAGGCACCCGTTACATCAAAAACTTCCGATGATGATGACGAAACTGACGAGATTACGGCAGATGACATGAATGAATTCGTCATTCAGGTTGATCTTGCGCTTCAAATAATTAACGTCGCATCTACCTTGATCGAACGACATTTTACATATCGAAGATTTGGTGCTTCAACCTCTTCTACAAAGGATATGGAAGAGCTACTCAAAAATTTAACTGCTGATCTAACCGAATGGGACGAATTTGTGAATGTGGCACAGAAAGAACATTACTACCTAACTTTTTATCCGGCTCGTCACATTTTAAGTTTTTATGACTACTTCTTCTTTAAAGATAAAGGGAAAGGTGATCATAAAATGGAAATTATCACAGATACATGCGAAAAGCTTTTAAGATTCGTGAGTGATGAGGCAGAGTTGCCATCTCTCGGGGAGTTCAGTGATCATATTTCTCGTGAGGATAACTTTTTGGAAATTTTACAAATGATCGGGAACATCTTAAATCACATGTTCAGCAATGTTCCACCTCGAAGGCGGTTAATCACGAAGAAAGTCGAAAGAATTACTTCTAATGTAGTAAAACCGGGTCAGCTCTTTGTTGCTGCTTGCAACGATAAATTTAGCGTGCCTAATATCATCATGAGTTTGTTTTCAAACTATGGCTACTATCCGGAACCTTGGCAACTTTTAATATGCAAGGCATCGACCAAATTAGAGGAATTGATAACTTTCACCAAGCGATGCTTCTTTGCCGTGAGGAATGGATATGATAAATATTTATTTTGTATTGCCAACGTGGAAATTCTCGAATTTGAACTCCAGTATCAGTTGGTGAACAGCATCCGTTCACTATCCTTGTTGGAAAAAAATTTTCACCTAGCCTTAATATGTTGTCGAGAAGCTGGAATGCATCACCATATCCTCGAACAATTCAGTCAAGATGTTCATTTCATCACCAAAGGTCTAGGAGCGGAATCCATGAGTAAAATCTATCAGGAGTTGTGTCCAAATGTGACATGCGTTTCATCGGATTTGTCCGGACAGGGTAAGACTGAAATGATAAGGGAAATCAGTTATCGGAAAGGTTGGATTCCGCGGAATTTATTAATCAGTGATGGCGTTAGGTTTGCAATGCTTGTTCGTCAGTTATCCGAGCTAAAACTCAAAAAGTTTGAGAGCCTCCATCTGAACATTGTATTAATAGATCATTCTTATGATGTGAATATGTTCCTGTTCGAGTTACTTAGTTTGGGGATGGCATCTAACGGAAGTGACATAGCATGTTTACCGTCAACTGTAATTTTTATTGAGGTTGCTTCAACCTTGAATCAATATCTTCTCAATTCTCT